TTTTAATTTGGCCCTTCTTAAAATATATTGCCGATCTGGTCACTATAATTATGTCCGTCTAGGCCTCTACCGACACGGCCTCATTCATATCCGCTCTGTATACTTCTTTCAGTTTCATCGGACATATTAAAATAATAAACTTACTAACACTTGAATAACATAATATTATTAATAAATAATTATGTTTTACAGCCTACTCCCTGAACTGTCGCGGAGAACATAACGGGTAACCGGGGCTCCGGCTCGACGTGCAGGAGAAGGAACGGAGGGTGGTTTTTAGTCAGTAAGAGTCTGACACTCCCTTCCGCCTCAACCAGGTTCGATGATTTTCCCCCCTTAAAAAAAAAAACTCCCTGAACTGTTTACGAGGTAACTCGACAGTCGACTAGTTTCAAGCTTCGATAGGGGCCTGTAGTCAGGCGCTTTGAACTTCATGATAAATAAAGTTTTAATGGGCTTTTTGATCATTGAAGTGGGCAATGATTGAGTCAGTGATGATATGAATTTCATAATGATATCGGAGGTTTAATAAGTAATTCGCAATCTATTAAAAAAAACAACAAGACGACTACCTATAACTTAAAAAAAACAAACAGACATTTCGATTGTACATTGGACTTCGCCCGCTCTTTCAGGGAATATTTTAACATAGTGACATCAGACTGTTTATATTCAAAATGTTCCACAAATAATAACTATTTAATCTATATTTTTAGCAAATTGTTTATAGTATGTAAGAAAATTTTTATTTCATATGACTGTATTTATGTACCCTTTGCACCCCATTACGTCATTACATATGATGACGTCATTCAAAACATTCCAGCTGATAAAAAAGTCTAAAAGAATTCAAGGTCCACTCTTGTATTCTATTGTAATCCAATACTTAGTGATGGGACGCATGTGTGTCTAATTTTCGATAAATGAACGATTGTTGTCAAATAATCGATAGCGAATCGATTGAAGTTATTGTTCCTGAACTCTTGACCATAGTTTATGTAAGTAATTATAATTGATTGGAATTTTAAATGGAATTATGAAATGTGTAGGTAGGTATAGCATACTGCAGTGGTCCTAGGCTAGGTAGACTGTGAAGACTAAAGACTCCTGTAATTTGTATCTATTGTTTAAATTATGTATCGCCGAGTTAATTAGTTTATTAAAGGATCAATAAAATGTACAGTAAACAAAGTACTTACAATTTCTATGGGGTTGGGTTCCATAGGCGATGCTGAATACCTACTTATACCATTGCCATGACTTATATCTGCTACTTTAAAGAATGTCATAGTTTTAGTCATAGTCTTACTTACTAATTGCTTCTTTTACGAGGACTGCCTCGTTGGCCGAGTGGTCGCAAGTACGACTGCCGGGCAAAGGGTCTCGGGTTCGATTCCCGGGTCGGGCAAAATATTACTGGGTTTTTAAAAGATTCTCAGTAGTAGCACGGAGTCTGGAATTGTGACAGGTATACGATAGGCTCACCCCCTATTACATGGGACTCATAACATAAATAGTGAAAAGTTGGTGTTACATTGTACAGTGGTTTTTATAATAACTATCGTAAGACATACTAAACTAACTAAAATCGTGGGTTACTCGCGTGCGCAGTGGCCGCGACGTCGCGCAGCTCACACGCGTTTCTCATGAGGAAGAACCCCTCTGTGGTTCGAAACTAGTAGAACTTTTCTCAGTATATTCACGTGAGTAACCCGCGATTTTAGTTAATGGTATGGTGGCATAAATGTGCACCTCGACCTACCCCTTCCGGGATAAAAGGCGTCAAGTTATGTTATGTTGCTTCTTTTAGGTAATTGTTGTACTTACTATTTATCGATATCGTAGTGACGAATAAATTGAAACATCGGTCGTACCTACATAAATTCGGAGTGCAGTCTCGAGAGACGACGTTCGTGACTCGATTTCATTATGGAATGGACGAAAGACAGAACAAAAAACTTTATAGCCTGTCTACTTATTATAAGCAGGGATATTTTACGCTAAATCTTTCACATTATTTTACCCATTGCTTGTTGTACTAATCTGATTACTGCTTGATCTGGTTATCATCACCATCATCATCATGCCAACCACAAGAAGTCCTCTCCTGAACATAGGCCTCCACTAGTAACTTCCAGATCAGCCGTATGAAAGCAACCTGCATCCTGACGTTCAAAAGTGCCTTCCTGGTCTATTTGAAATAAATGATTTTGACTTTGATCCAGCGGTTTCCTGTGACCCTTGTCAGGTCGTACTTTGGAGTTCAAGACATAAGACACTATAATTATGCTCAGTATAAGCCTCACTATTCACTAATTAGTGTAATTCCATGTAATAGAGAGATTGTTCTACCTGTAAATCAAAGAATAGGACCGTATAAGGAAACAGTGATATTTTACACAATTTCACATGGATTAGGGAATTCCCAAAGGGTTATTCTAACTAGGTAGATAGATAGGTATCTACAATTTAAATGAATTTTCCTTAAAACCTTTAAAGTTCAGCTTTCGATCTAGCATTTACCTGTTAAGTTGTTGCTCAATATGTAATTGCTGCTTGTCCTAGATTTGTGTATGTTCTGACTGTACCAGTGAATATCAATTTATTTCTTTAGTAGTCAATTTACCCTCTTTCTAACGAATACTGCATGAAAAAATGATCCAATTTTAAGTGTGGGAGAGTCATGCTTCGGCACGAATGGGCCGGCTCGACCGGAGTGAAACCACGGCTGAGCAGAAAACCGACGTGAAACAACACTTGCGTTGCGTTTCGTCGTGAAGTTGTCGGTGGCACAATCCCCCCCCCCCCCTCTCAATCTCCCCAATTCCCGAATCCCCAATAATCCTCAAATTCCTAATCCTCAAAATGTCGGTAACGCAATTGTAACAATTTTGGTGGTCCAGGTGTCTATAAGCGATGGCGATTGCTTACCATCAGGTGATCCGTATGCTCGGTTATAAGCTTATTCCATAAAAATTGATGTATCTAGCCATTTGAGAGTTATGATCTTACACACATTTTGGAGATACATTTTATTTTAACTACAAGTTCATTACAAACTAAAGTTATAAACCTTGAGTTTAAGCATCTCTTTGAACTAATACCGACATGTTCAAGTGATTGTGTAGTTTCTCAACATTGTGAGTGCCTTCGTCAAGTTGTGTGTCGTAACTTAAACTGTTGCAGCAATACTTCATGGACTCTACTTGTACAGCATGTACCTAAGTAGACAGTATACTTAATGAATCTGCAATAATAAGAGTTATCTATATACCTAAGTTATTAATTCAAAAAATAGGTTACTACCTACCCTTGAAAATTGGCTACCCTTGCCTTATCTACGGGTCTTGCAAGAACCGCCAAAGGGACTCTCTGATAATCCTGAATTCTAACCTCCAATTAATCCGACTGGCCTGTCTCCGACCGAAGTAATGACACTTACCAGTTCAGCATTTTGCCAAATAACATACAAAGTAAAGTTAATCTGTTTCTTCTAAACCATACAATTCTGCTTGCCCTCCTCTTACGTCATAATATCGCAAATATTGGCTACGAACACACTTTCATACGATAATATTTGAGGAGTACAATCACAGTATAGAAAATGACAGTAGCCTAACTCCGGATATATTCTTGAAATTTATATTATCCACGGCTGTTCTTAGGGGTCTCCTTTAAAACGAAGATGCTCGCTAAGGCGCGTTTTTGCGAAATTCTATTTAAGAGGATTGGGACCTACAAAATGAAGAATTATTACATGGACCGTTACATACGAATGAGCCGACTCGACCGGAGCTATACCACGGCCTCACAGAAAACCGACGTGAAATGACACTTTTCGTTGTATTTTGTCGTGTGAGTGAGGTTACCAGAGCTTTTTTGACCTCCTTTTTTTCACTCTGTTCATGAGGAAGAACACCTCTGTGGTTCGAAACTAGTAGAGCTTTTCTCAGTATATTCACGTTAGTAACCCGCGTTTTTACTTAATTTAGTATGTCTCACGATAGTTATTATAAAAATACAAATATACCTCTATAAAAAAAACTATCAAGGCTTATTAATCTTCCTCGCTTGTTACTTTATTTATTTTATAAGCCGTACGGAAAACCGTCCCTCTTGACATCTGTAACACCAGAGGTCTCGTGTTGCCAACCCTGACTGCTATATAAAACTAAAGAATCTAAAAGGTCTGAAATAATAAATACAACAGAAGTTTTCGACGTACTTTATTGACCTCCACGTACACCAAGCTGTACACATCAAATAAATACAACTTTCCATAAAAATATGTTACATTACATTAACTTAACAACGTATTCATAATATTAAAACCGTTATTTTTATCGACTAGCAACATTAGTCTATTTTGAAATAGTTTTTTTAAGTATAACATTTTTTTCATTTATTATTTTAAGTACTAAATATGTACTATTCTCATACCATTTATTAATATTGTATAATAATTATTAAAACTATTTTTACACTCACTAATACCTAGTATTTACTTTGTAAAGGTAATTAAATATGTCTATTTATACTTTATTTAATTGCCTACAACAGATCTTTGGTTAGATATTCATAAATTACAAGGCACTATTGAGTATTACATAGACTTATTTCATTAATTATTATCTTAAATATGACTAGGACTCGACTAAGTAAGTATGTATACAAAACATTATAGTCTACATTTAAAATACAGCTAAAAATCTAGTCATAATCCATAGATGTATCATTAAAATGCTTATTTCGTAAATAGTTTAAATAATATTATTCGTAAATTTATAATAGTTGAAGAAACTGCACAAAAAGAATGGAAAGTCATTGTGCTGCACTTATTTTTAAGTAATGTTATGAATAAAAATCTAAATAAGATCCCACAAAGACATCAGATAGAAACGATTAAAGTAATATTCTATAGAAAATTTCGAATAAAAACGTGACATATCCATAAATAGTTCGGTCTTAAAATTATTTAACAAAAACGTAATTAAATAATTTTAAAAATCCGTATATTGTATTGATGCACCAACGCCATCTAGAACGACTGGCCGGTAGTAATCCTTCATCTCGCCCCAGCCGCGCGGCGCTACGTTGAAGTTCGGTCCCGAAACTAGCGGCAATCTTGGGCTCTTAGGTGAAGCATAGACATCATTTAACTTAGTAGGTGCCAATGGGACAGGTACATCTATATTCTGTACCGTGATCGTTGGAGGAGAGATCGGGAACGGCTCCATTTTCGGCAAGTTGCTGGAGTGTTTAAGCGCCGACTTGGGATATGTTTTCTGGTTGCGTAAACTAGATGGCGGGCGGTACGGTGTGTCGTGGTTCGCAACGGGCGTCGGTGTGGAGCAGGCGTTCGATGTGTTTCGACCTGAAATAGACAAATAGAGATTTTTTATGCTATAATTAAACGTAACAAAGTCTGAACAGACCAAAACCTAAATTCCTATTTATGTAGATAAATATACTATTTCTGAAACTCTAGCTTCCTATAAACCCTAGGCTAGTAAATTTTGTTACAAAATCGTGCTCCCATTACTTTTATAACGTCTCTTAAGCTAATTTTTTGAAAAAAGTAAGTATAAAAAAAAGGAACTATATTCATTACCGTGTTACTAAATTGAATATCAAGCACAGATTTCAAACGTCAACGATGAAGACTAGGCACTGTAGTATTATTAATTAACATTATGTGCCCTATAAATAACGCGACATGTGCGCTAGTCTGTCTGGCTACCGACCAAGCTGTCAATATCAGCTGCTGTCGTTAATATCTGACTGGCAGCTTACTATAATTTCATATTTTATGAAACACTGAGTTTATCGAGTAAATTTTCTATATTGAAGCTACTTTTTAACTTGATGCGGTTTTGGAGTAACCTTATGACATAAAATACTCGTTCTTTTCTATAGGAATTATTATTATGTTAATAGGGCAGTAAATAAATCGACTGCTCTAGATGTCTTGGTTGCTTTCTTCATCAGATGTGTGGTAAACACAAACGGTACGTAGTTTGTTATTTTAACCAAATGTTTAGGTATAATTTGAGTAGACAGTCGGAGAAAAGTTAAATCTGAACAAGTTGTTTTTACTTATCAAACAAAACTATAATCTACGTGTGTAATGCTAACCAATGCTAGAATAAATACAATATCCCGTACGTACCTCGTCCTTCATGCACCCACTTGACCGATCTCTTCTTCCTGTTCACATACATGCTCTGTCCTCTGCTCATGTGGTTGCTGGAGTCGCTCAGGGACTTGGAGATGGCTCTGGCTAGGTCCATCTGCTCCTTTACTGTAGGGTGCACTCCTGGCACGTAGAATGCTGATGATGCGAATGTTTTCTCTGAAATATGGAAATTTTAGTTTAGCACTATCTATCGATAAAGATCTTTATATTGATCGAACCATTGTAGGCACTGGTTGCGTTAACTTAGTTTTAAATCAATACATTTTGAATATTTTACAAAGGATATTTCTTCTCATTCAGAATAATATCGTACGATCAGTTTTATCTATTAATGTTTCTAAAACACGATCCTTAATTATCTGGTTGAATCAACGACGCCAAAACAGTTTGAAGTCATATACATCAGTAATAAGTATTAATCAAGAATATTAATATTGCTCATTTCCCCAAATAGTCTCAAATACGTTGTCATTTTACTTTAATAGATGGCGTTACTTATACGTTGATTAGTCGACCTAAGAATAGGCACTAGAATGGGTCACTACTATCTGTCTAAGAATAGAAACTGTCAGGTGAGTGGGTAGCATACAACAGTGGGTACTATGAATTGAATACGTATTGTGGAGAACAAAATTACAGTTTATGTTGAATGTCTACAACATCATTACACATTACACATCACTTAGCAAACTTTACTACAGGGTTTCTCATCGTTTTTATTTTTCCCTTTCTCGTTAATCAAGTTACAAATTGTCTACCTACATATGCACGCCGTGTGATATGCTATTGAAAACTGCTTTCCTATCGCCTATCAGTCTAGCAAATAAAGAGACAAACAACATAAATGATGGAAAATATATATACTGTAAATATGCTTCTGTCCTTTTCTTCCAGAATATTAACAACCATTTTTGCAGAATGAGTTGTGTATTCTAATCTAGTTAGTCAAGTCAAGCTGACTTATACTTAAATATAATTTTATTAGACCCTTGACCCGACCCGTACAACATTTAATAATAAAATAAACATCTGCAACCACTCGAAATCTAGGACTCACTGCCAAATCTAGCTTTTAATGACTAAAACACTAATCAGAAAAGGTCTGACAAGCGTCTGACTCAGCCGTGAATTGACGCAAATCGTGCACTGCTACCAAAACAGTTGGCGTAAAGACGTAGACGTCACGTCGAACAATAGAGAACTACTTTATGCAAATGTTGTGCTCCCGAAATAGCTTGGATCTTTGGGTAAAGGACGTTTCTCGTTTTCTATGGAAATTCATACTGATGTGAATATGTTGAATAATTTGTTTGTGCGCGATAATTTCAGAAATGAAGATTGAATTGTTTTTACATTTTGTCCATGTAATTGCAAAGAATAGTCACTTGCATATAAAGTGATTATAACAGGTATTTACACAACATGATTAATAAGGAGTTCTAAAGGTCACTTTAGGGAAAAGAGTCAGTCATTTGTCACTGAAATGTAACAAAACATCTTACATTTTAAATACGCAAATGCGTGTCTTGTTTACGTGTCGTGATTTTCATGATGAGGTCCTATCCTCGAACCACAAACAATAATAGCGTCAACAAACGTTATGAGGAATTCAAGATTACGTAGAAATCTTAAAAAGCTAGGAAGGTATTAATAAAACAGTTTACGAAATAGAGGCACTTAACAAGATATTAAAGAAAAGTAGAGAAGCCATTACTTAGATTCTCCTCTAATTTATGACATTGTTCGTAGATGCATCACGAGCAATAAGCTAGTTTCTAAGTAGCACGTAATCATTGGTATCGGTGATGTTGTTCGTGGATGCATTTACGAATAGCAAACTTTTTTACTAATTAATTACTAAAGTGTACTAACATAGATATAAGTTATTTCTACTAATAACCTATGGATGCTTCTGGTCCGAAATAAAGAGTATTTTATTTTATTTTATTTTATTTTATTTATTTATTACGACCACAGATTTCTTAAAAAATCAATGCAACAGACAAAACTTGTTGAATCTCAAAAATAAGTTAACTGAATAGTCCTAAATCCCATAACCAAATTAAACAAGAAACAGCATAGGAGAATGAGGAAACAGATCACGATATGAGCTCAAACCAGTTAACCTCATCTCAATATTTGACGGGCTATTTATCACCGAGAGAGAAAATCATCAAAGATTTCAAGACAGTAAAATATAATCTAAATATACTTCTCCTATTAATCATTTAGTGTTATATGTTCAAAGTGACGGAAGTGTATATGCAGTTAGAGTGCTAAGAACACTAATTACTTGCAATAAACAATAACTGTGACCTTTATATATAATTTACTAGCGACCCGCCCCGGCTTCGCACGGGTGCAATATGTATATACATACAAACCTTCCTTAAGAATCACTCTATCTATTTAAAAAAACCGCATCAAAATCCGTTGCGTAGTTTTAAAGATCTAAGCATACATACGGAAATACAGCGAAAGCGACTTTGTTTTATACTATGTATTGATTAGATAGAATGACAAAATAATGATTAGTCCTTGCCAATCTTGTTAGTTTATTTTTAATAGTAAGATTTTTGACTTGTAGTGGTGATTCTTAGAAAGTTCAACATGAAATATATTTAACAGTAAATGCCGCATGAGAACTGTTATTTTCTCATGTAAAATCTTCATGTTGATTAATTTGGATTCAACATAATTTTGGAACCTGTCAACTGCAAACCAGTAGTTTTAGATAAAAATTACATACATAACATCACGCCTTTTATCCCCAAAGGGGTAGGCAGAGGTGCACATTATACCACTGTACAATGTAACACCCACTTTTCACTGTTTATGTTATAAGTCCCATGTAATAGGGGGTGAGCTTATTGCCATATACCGGGCACAATTCCAGACTCCGTGCTACTACTGAGAATTTTTAAAAAATTTTTACTTTGCCCGACCCGGGAATCGAACCCGAGACCCCTTACCCAGCAGTCGCACTTGCGACCACTCGGCCAACGAGGCAGTCAGTTTATTTTAAAATTACAGTAAGTTTAAACAGATAATTATCACTTCAACGATAATTCAACAGATTTCAGAGACTTCTAATCAGTTGTAGCGGTACAAACGACTATTATAAGAAGGGGAACGAACAGCATAAAGAAATTTGTTAAAAACTCACCAAACTTGCGATCCTTCTTGATGATGTGTTCTTCAGCATCAGGCGCTGGTGTGAAGATCTTGTTCAGGTCCACCTCTTTCTCTCCTAGTAGAATAGGCTTGTTTTCCATGTCCTCCTGGAATATTACGTCATTTTTATAATATGGCAATAATGTGATTAGAAAATACGTATCAAAATGCGACTTCTAACAATTGACACAATGAAATACAATGAAATACTCTGAAATTTACACATGGGAATGTTTTTGTAAAACAGTGGCAGTGCTTCAATACAATTGCTGAATAATGTGTGTATTTTTGGCGTTTCCATAAACAGTAAACTGTAGAGTATAGTAATAGAGTCAAATGATAGATGGCAGTAATATCGCGTAAAATCTTAAATTATCAACAAAATTTACGACTCGTTTGAAAAAAAAGAAATATTAACATATTATTATGCTCGTTTGGATTCGAACCAAAGACTTGGCTTGTCAGATAAAGTAATTTAATTACTAAGACGTACAGAAGCGTAGTTATGACAAAATATTATGTGGGATGAAAATTACACATCAAATTATTTTGTTTTATAGATGCAGCCTTTAGTCACTTTGATGATATAAATTTCCTGAAAATCTAGGTTTTGTAATAAAATACCTAGTAGGTATAAAAAACAGCAATAATTTACATAACAAAAGTCACACATGAAAGAAGTACAAGTATCTTTGTGATTTACTGAGAATTTCATTGCTTGTATTTACGTAAATTATATTTATGTGAAAAGCAAAAAGAAGGTAATTATCTATATTTACAAATCAATAGCTATGTTTGTGTGTACCTATGTACCATGACTAGGTACCAGGTACAAAATGTAAGAAGAATAAGTACCTAATTGTTAGTAGCATTAAGTTGTTATTGTAAGGCAAAATAGTCAATTATTTCATGTTCTCTATCTAGAATTTGTTTAAATGAAAAAGTATAACATAATATCATAACATAACATCACGCCTCTTATGTCCGAAGGGGTAGGTAGAGGTGCACATTATAGCACTTAATGCCACTGTACAATTTAACACCCACTTTTCACTATTTATGTTACGAGTCCCATATAAAAGGAGGTGCGTCTATTGTCATATACCGGGCACTGTTAGTTGTTAGTGATATTAATACTGAGATTTTTAAAAAACCCCAGTAATACTTTGCCCGACCCGGGAATCGAACCCGAGACCCCTTGTCTGGCAGTTGCACTTGCGACCACTCGGCCAACGAGGCAGAGATAGGTAAGTATCAAAGTCACAGCATTTATTTCAATTAAACCATGATTTGGCATTTATGAAACGTTTACAAATATATGTTTGAATCGTCAACGTATATAGATATTTGTTCTATTTACGAGCTTAATCTAATGCAACTGAACTGACAATAAAGTGTGTGCATGCGAAGTTTTAGTAAGGTAAAAATCTTGGCTTAGTAAAGCTAGGCGCTACCCACTGTCCTCAGTCAGCAAAAAAAAAAAGAGGTACTATAAAGAACACCTCTGCTTGTTCTATGGAGGAATTAAAACAGTTGTGAATCCGTGTCATTGAACATTTTCTTACAAAGACTACAGCAATAACGTCACGCAGCAATTTGAATTTACAATTTTCAGCCTGAAAGCCATGACGAGAATGTCTATTCTTAACCGTAATACGTGCGGTACCAATCAGTCAATGTTGCCAACGTAATAAAATGGTTCACGGAAAACAAAATGGAAGGTCATTCTTATCTTTCATGGTTTATAAAATAAGTATTTTATTTATTACGATTTTGTACACATTGAACACATTTTTATTGTAAAAAGTTATCTTAAGTTTAAGTTTGAGTTTTGTACATTTCCTTTTATTTTCGAATTTGTTCAGGATTTTCGATTTTAGAATCTCAATAGTTACGGAGTCTAGAATGATGCTTTATGTATAGTAATAAGCGCCATCTATTACATGAAACTTTAACATAATTGTCATAAATTATTTGTTACAATCAAAATATGCACTCTTCTACTTTTGTTGAATTAAAGCTATGATGTTAATGTTATATTTACACTGTCCTTGGCTCTAACATAGTCTGCATGTTGTTCATTACTCAACAACATGTTCTATTAAATATTTGGCTCTTGGCTCGACTTTGTAAGTGCTCGTGAACATCTCTAACAAGATTATAATGCAAGTGATTCTTATCTTAGCTAACACCTCGTGATACGGGATTATGTGATTTATTACATTCTAGGATAGAGTTGTTGATTGTGTGAGCCTGTTTTTATAATAGTGAGTAGATTAGTATTGCCACGTTGCGCGGTTATCTTGTATTTGAATGGTCTGGGTTACCAGGGTAAAAATTAATTGTTTTACTTGGTTCCCGTAATAGTATTTGTTTTCTATGTATTAGGGTTCGTATAATAGGTATATTTACATGTAGGAATCGTAGTAATTCGCGTTCCATAGTCTCTGCCTACCCCCATGGGAGACAAGCGTGAAGTTATGTATATATGTATGTATGTACTAGGGTTCGCTGTATATTACATGTGGGTCTATAAAACACTGAAAAGTGAATAAATAATTGTGTAAGGTTTCATAACTGATTATTTTGCCATTATGGTTAAGAATAAAGTTTAGTAATAAAACAGAAAAGTTAGTAAACACAGACAGATAAAGCGAAAGCAAGATACAAAATTATATATTAATAAATAAAATATGAGTTAGTATATTTATACAAAAAATGAGTAAAAGTCATAAAAATAACAAAAATGTTTTCTAAAAATGGTATTTTTCTTTTTTGTTTTGTTTTTTATAATGAGAATGGTATTTATTTACACTGGTAACACTTGAAACTAATGTGTCTATGTTTTGTTTATGATTTTGGGATAGTCTTACAGTGAGACAGTCCATGGGCTCCAATAACTCGTTGTCCCGGGATATTTCTGCATCGTTCTGTATTAGCATAGTTTTATAATATTAATTTACAAGGAAAAATGCTTATTTTTTTGCTAGGAAAACATAGATTTATTCTGTTTCATATTTTCTGTTAGTATTTGACATTATACTGTAATTGTTTTTATTTTAATAAGTTTTTAATGTTTTATAAAGTTTTCGTTTTTATTGAAAAGCAATAAAGAAGACTTTTTATTAAACTTTGTCGAAATAGAGTAGCTTTATTTGCTGTTGTCTGTACTAAATGCTAGTAAAGTTTACATTGTCTTTGTGTTTAAACGAAATTATTTATAGAAATATCTTAAGATTTGTAAGTAGGCTGGCATAAATGTAGAACAGTAGTTCATGCCAAGTACCTATATGTTTTATTATGTGCTTAATAAATAACTTCTATTTGTACTAGTTACTTGAGATTTTGTGAAAAATTTGAGAATTATGATTTTTTGGATAGTAAATAACAATCTCCTATATTATAGGTGCATAAAAAAATATTTCAGTAATGTTAAGGTTTAGTAATCACGTTAATTTCCACGCTACACAAAACTTAATTTAATTTGACAATCATTTTTCTGCTTCAAAAAATAATCGAAATATAAAAAAAACCGTCCTCTACTCATAACCTTAGTTTGAGTTATTTTCTGCAATCAATTTTATACTTATTAACTGTGGTAATAAAGTGTAAAATCGATTGGAAAGACATTTTGACGTAGTAAAATTTGGCGGTTAGCCAAATTGCGCAGGCGACTCTAACGGCTATGAAAATTAAACAGAATGACTTTTTCAAGGAATCGAGGCCAATGGGCTTATTACAAGTTAAAATCTTGATTAGTTTATCGTTTTATTAGTACACTGGAAAGTACTTTAAATCTAGAGATCATTTTTTTTATAAAAAAAACACTTAACCTCGACGAATGATATTATCAAGTACTTTTAAAGAGATTCTTTTATCTATAACTAACAAAGTATTTGAGAAAAAAGTATAAACCAATAGATGAGAGATGTCTTAAAAATCAATCGCTTAATATCACCTTTTCTTTCAATTATGCAATATTAGGTTATCTATAAGTTTTACAGCAAACAACTCATTACAATTCACCAATTAACACACTCAAAACTTCTACTATCAATTTAAAAAAAATTACGTAAGTCCCTTTGACCACTATAACACACGTCCTATTATGTCACGCGTCCACAATAAATAATATGAAGACAATGTCATGTCAAACACTATATACTTGTATATGACTTATTATTATTTTATTTGGCAACACCATCTGTTAAGGCCTAGACACATTTATGGATGAGAAATATTATTTATGTGATTGGTGTCGCAGTTAGATCTTTAGTGAGAGATATATGTATAGGTATTTCTTTGTTATTTATGAACCTTTGGCTGTATGATGTTTTCATAGTTAAGGCAGTTGGAATCATTAAAGTGAATTTATCAATGAAAGTTCTTTGAAGTTTTGCTCTTACTAGGTGGCGCCACTCATTTGTAACGACTGTTAACTTGATACTTGAAACCTTTAAGACAACAGCGTTTTTCTTTTTAAAAGGCCGGCAACGCACCTGTGACTTCTCTGGTGTTTCAGGAGTCTATGGGCGAGGCTGATCGATTACCATCATGTGATCTGACTGCTCGTTTGCCTACTATTCTATAAAAAAAAATCAATTATTCGTCAAACGACTTGTCATTTAATTTGGATCGAACCATCTCACGCCTCGGCTGTCGCGAGAGACACTCCGAGCATCGGGGATCGCGAGACGATCTCCGGCCACCGTAAGCATGGGTCTGCTGACGGCGAGCACGGGTGACTCGCCACCCGACCAGAACCAGACCCGAGCGTACGGCGCGTGGCGTTCCGCGCGCGCCTCAAGGAGCCATCAGACCAACACAGATGGGGCCCAACAGGGCTGATACCGATATAGAGCCGCGGAAGACTTAACAGGTTGCCGGGGCTCCGGCTCGAAGTGCAGGAGTAGGAACGGGGTGGTTTTTAGTCAGTAAGAGTCTGACACTCCCTCTCGTCTCACCCGGGCGGGAGAAGTCATTGGAAGATTTTCCCCCTCAAAAAAAGCCTGTGTATTAGAAACATTGTGTTCATAAACATTGTGTTCATAAACTTTTCCACTGGTACCCCATGTTGTCAGATGAAACTCATGATGAAACTAGCGACCAAAATAGGTCTTTGATAGATGACTATTTGTATCTATTATCCTCCTAGTTTTCTAGGTCTACGTAAACAATAAAAGACTAGTACTTTCATTTTCAGTCTGGTTTTGACTAGATTTATCAGACTTAGAACTTAGTCATAGCTTGGTATAGAAAGTTCATGTTCTAATTTACACGGTGAAAGCCAGGTTGCGGATTCTTGTTATTCTGTCGACATAATATTTCCAAAATCAAGCATTTTTTTATTTTTTCTGTCATTATTTATAATAACTACATTGTAATATGTGAATATGCGACATAGGTTTTATTATTGAGTTTAACTTCCTTTATGCGCATACGCAAGTCTGTCTGATCAGAAACAAATTATTGGCGAACGTCTGAACGTAACTCTGTGGTCTTTGAAGTCCTAAATTCCTCGTTAACTCAAACCAGATACCAATAAACTGTCCTTTTAAACTAAACTCATATTATCGCTCTCTTCACAGTGTTGCGCGTGCGCTGGTGATGTGTAAATGGGCCCTAAATAACGCAGAGGCCAAGACCAGAGGTGCAGAGTGACACGAGTTCGATGCCCGACTCGCACAAATTCGGATCACGGCTATTTGCAGTTGTTTCTATCCTTCATTTGTCAGAAGTTTTTTATTGTGTTTTTCACTTTTGATTTTAAAATATCTGCTGCAGTATTAGCTATCGCAGCCAAACGAAGTCTAGAATTTCAGATATTTAGACTTGGAAGAAAAACAAGAATCTTTTCAACAAAAATAAACATACATATTATTATATTGTTAGCCACGATGCGGCTGATGATATAGAATAGAGCACCTAAGCAAGACTTAAGACTTGAAGACTCCCAGGTGTACTTATTCTTCAGGAAACAAAGATTCTTTCAAGGATTTCTACTCCTTAAACTTCCTTCGTTCGAAGGGTGGAATATCCAACAAAAACCGATCTTATTCTTAGCCAAATTATATTGACGGTACGATGGAAGGATACCAGTCCTTTTCACAATCGAAAGAGGACAAGAACGTAGAATTGACTGACACCTTCTGTACAGTTCGTACACTTGTAGTTGATGTTGGAGTGTGCAGAGAAAAGATCACTCGGATAATGTAACTATAAAGTTTATTGCACCCAAGTGTAGTACAGTATAGCACAGTTGGCAATTCCTTTCTCATTAGGTGTTTACTTCGTTATTAGTAAAAACACACTCACTCGATAATTACTTGATATGTGATTATATACCTAAGCAATATCGCGCGATCGTACCGATCTTAATGTCAGCAAAATATCTATGTACCGTTGAAGACTGTACATCTTGGCAACTCCAAAAGGTCACAACAAATGAGAGAAGGAAATGCCAGTACAAAGCAAAACAATCATAGAGTATAATAGTAAGATAAATCGCAAAAAGTTAGTTAAGATTGAAAGCTATGTTCCTAGTTCCAGAGTCGACGCTCCGCGGAAATCTGATCGGTCGAGGTTCCTCGCTGCTGCTGTTGCTCGACGATAATGTGCCGCCTGTCTCCCTTTGTTGATGGTTGACTTGGCGGATGACTTGTAACTCAATATCCTCATGCTGCACCACCGTGGTTGGGTTTTTTTTGAAATAGTGGCTCCAGTGCTTCCTCCCAACCGCCAGCAACAGCGCAACGATAGCCGCAGCCAACAGAGAGTAACTGATGGCGTACTGATGAATGTCGTGTGTTGTAAGGCTTGGGAGGTTCGCCTCATTATCCTTTTGAGTTTTGATTTGCCCTTCAATTTTGGAGAATTCAAGATCTGTAGTCGTGGGTTCGAGCGTGTTCGGAGCGTAGCGGTACGTTAAGTTGACAATCTTGTTTATAGGTGTATTCAAAGTAGGGGCTGTCAATGCGTAGTTCATTTTCGTTTGGCTGTTGTACTGGCGATGAGCGACGATCGTTATGTCTCTTGATTGCAATACGCATCCTTGAGATAACGTCACTAGACCAGATGACTTTAGTGTGTATGTTGTTATGTCATTACTACATAGTGTACGTAGTACACATGTATCGCAGCATATCGCCAGCCAGCTGTTCGACGAGTGTAACTCGATCCAGGCGTCCTTGCATATTGTTGGCGCTATGTCGCACGGTGCGGTGTTTTGATGTGACAGCAATTTTGCTTCACACGGGGCTTTGTTGCTATGTAAATCGTAAGATGGTAAGTTATTTTTGCAAAGAAAGTTAAGTGATGTCTGTTTTACACATTGTCTGTAGTCACCTTCGGTCAGCAGAATGTAAGAACTCTTTTTAAGGTTTACAGCGATGTATTTTGATGAAATTTGAGCATATGTGAGTTGGTTGCCTCTGGTAAATGGTAACGGTATAACTTGATATATCATGTAATCTTCATTTGAAACCAGGGGTATATGCACTTCGAATATAAAGTACGTTTCTGTAACTCGTGCTTTGACGTTCATTAGCTTGTAGACTTCTTTGATGTTCTCCTTATAGTTTTCAACAGGTAACGATACAGTTTTTGGTAGGTTTCCCGATATTTCACCTAATTGCTCAATCAAATGTACAGGAGTGATCAAATGCACATCAATATGTCCCTGATATACGTTCGTGAGGGTATTGAACAGCATTTCTTGGAAATTTTGCAAGCTATTGATTAGCAAATATGCAGTCAATGAGGCTGAGTTGATGTAAGTAGTTGCCGATATTATTTCCATCTCCGTTTCTATTGAGGCGAGGTTCAAGTTTGTTTGATTAACGAAACTATCGATGATGTTGAATTGGCGCTTAATGTTTGTTTCACTTTTCTTCAAAACTTGATTTTCGAGTTCCACAATAGTGGTCTGGTT